ATAATTCTATTATTACTTAAATTAATATCTTTCTGTTCTATTTTTTTTTCATACATACACACTTTATTGTATGAATATTTCTACTTGTTTCTTTTTCAGTGTGTATGAATAATTATCATTTCAGCTTTCTTTTCTAGTTATTCACTTGTGTCTTGTCGTTGTGTTCTTTTAAAATATAGTTCTTGTCTCATATTTGTATATGTAAATCACAAAAAAATAAATTTTCGATGGTAATAAGTTTACTTCCATAGATCTAACTGTTTGAATATATGAACATTTTATATTGACAGTAGAATATAAGTACGTGATTATACCTTCTTGTACTTCAATTGTAAGATGAAACTATTGAAAAAACTGAATTGATTTTTAAAGTGTTTTAGTGGTCTCATTTACTAAATCGATTTCTACAGAAAAAGAATATTGCATGTGCATACTTGAATGCAGTAATGTGTTAATAATATCCTTTCAAGGTCTGTTATTTTATATCCATTTTTATAATTTTCATGTAAAATATAAACTATTTAGGAAAAATTCTGAGTACGATGAGAAGAATTTGTAAGTCATCAACAAGAAAACGAATTAGTTTAAAAATACATTTTTTACATTATTTTTTTGCTTCAGTAACACGAACCATAAACAGTAAAAAAAATTCTTTAAAGTTTAATAATCATTTGTTGAGTAACTTACACAAATTTTTCATATAATTCCATGCTAATTTATCATCATACATATTCAATGATCGTCTCTAACTAATCTTTTCATTCGTGACAATTTTTTTTTGGAAAAACCAAAGTTTTTAATAATAATACTCGAATATGATTTTCATTTGTATTTAATTCTCATCAAAAAAAAGTTGAGAATAGTCAAGTGGTGTTTTTTCAACAAGTGAGGTCGTATCCCGTATACCTTTTTCATTACGGAGCTCTAATATCATGAGTGTCAATGTTCCAGGCTGTTAATGACGCGCAGCCAGAACTTTTTCATTACTAATGTCAATGGGTATACAATTAAGAATTGTCAAAAGCTCATTTTCTGATAGTAGGTCAGACTGGAAACTATTTATAATTTTCTCAGTCAAATGTCGTTTTCTTAAAGATGTCATAGTGGAAAAGTATGAGGTTGATTATTAAACTCAACAATTATTATCCAACGAATGTTTTATTTATTCGAACGATATATACATATACTTTTCTATCGAGTAGATTTTATCTCTGTCAAAAAAATATAAATACAATTTACAATTTCTTTTTAATGTCTTTGAAGTTTTGTATATACAGTAGAAGATGAGGATGATTTGCTTGTAATGACTTTTGTGCAATCCTTATTGCACACTCATAAGACGACTGAGCTTCTAAATAGTTGCCCATGTTTTCATACGCCAAACCAATGTTGTAATGAGATTTAGCCAAATCGGGATGATTTTTTGGAAGTGACTGTTGTTGAATGTCAAGAGTTTTTTTATAAGATGAAAGTGCTTCTGAATAATTTCCCATGTTGTCATACACACAACCAATACTGTTATGAGACATAGCCAAACTAGGATGGTTAGGGAGAAGTGATTGCTCCCGTATTGTAAGCGCTTTTTCGTAAGATAAAAGTGCTTGCGGATAATTACGCATATTAGTATACACTAAACCAATGTTGCTATGAGACGTAGCTAAATCAGGATGATTAGAACGGGGTAATCGTTGCCGCATTTTAAGAGCTTTTTCATGAAACAAAAGTGCTTGCGGATAGTTACGCATATTATCATAAACTAAACCGATATTGTTATAGGACATAGCCAGATCAGGATGATAAAGTGGAAGTGTTTGTTGTCGAATTTTAAGAGCTTTTTCATGAAATAAAAGCGCTTTCGAATAATTACGCATATTATCATACACTAAACCAATATTATTGTAGGACATAGCTAAATTAGGATGATTTGGAGCTAGTGTCTTTTTGTAGATAGCAAGTGATATTTCATAAAATTTAATTGCTTCTTGATATTTTCCTTGATTATATTTGGTAAGACCAAGTTGATGATAAATAGATGCCTTATCACTCTCATTTGTTGTTTGACCGAGTAGAATTTCATAAACTTCTTGAGCTTTATCAGATTTACCCATTTTAATTAGTAATTGAGCCAATCGTTCCCATCCTTCCGAATCTGAATAGATCTCTTCTCGAATCCAATTAGTAAGCATACGCAGATCATTGTCATTGTCACTAGTAAGTGTTAAATGTACCTCGTGGAGATTTTTGTGTCCACGTATTGGTTTAATATCTCCAATACGAAAGGTAGTATGCATCGAGAACAAGACTTCATCTTCTATAGTAAAACAACTAAACTCAGTAATAGAAGCAAATGGAGTTGTTGAATGTGCAGGATTAATTGACATGATGAATAAAATTCCGATTAGATTGTGTTTCACTACAGCATCTTGTGCATAAGTAAGAGAAATTGTACGATTTTTACTAGTTGATAAGAAACTATTAAGTGATATGAGTCCACGTTTAGTTTTTTTCAATTGTTCAAAATCGCCTTCTGATAGACCTTGTCCACGATAGACTGTGAATGGTTCACCTGAATACTGATTACCAAATTGCTCCGTATGTAATCGTTGAATATCATGATGAAGATCTCTAATAAAGAAACCCATTCGAACAATAATATCTACATCCATTAATCTTAGTGCACAATTAAGCATTGGATAAAGGAAACTTTCACATGTATACCAGTATATTGGTGTTTTGTTACGGTATGTCTCTTCGAATTTTTTAATGTTTGTGAATTCATCTGTATTATTAGCAAACAGGTCACGACAATAGTCGATAAATTCTTTTCTATGCTTTTCGTCAAATGTAATTGTTAATAATATTTCTTTTAGAATTTGTGTATACATAAACGATGGATCTAATTGATCCAATTTCTTATTAGGTTCTATAAAACTGATTGAAATTGCATTTTGCTCACATTGATGAGCTGTTTGTTTCAGTGCATCACAGATCAATGTTATATTTGTAAAGACACCTCGAATTTTAAACCATTCTTTAGCCCATTGTTCGTGAAGTTTTTTGTTATCACAAAAGATAAAAATTGTGTCTACTTGAGACATATTATGTACACTGGGCGCAATATGTTGACCGAGTGAACCTGAAACAATAATACATATCTTGTTATCATTTACAGTGTTGATAAATTCGATGCATTGTTCACTATTCGTGAATGTTTTAAAATTAATCACCGTACGTCGTAATTTAGTGATTGTGTATTGACAATCTTTGTCATTGTTGTTAATATTATTGTCTAACCAAATGACTATCAAATGTTGTAGTCTCTCCATAGCGATAGGCTTACGTACTGATGCATCTCTGGAAAAATCATATGTTGACTCGATACTTTTCGTAGCACTCAATATGCTGACTGCCATTGACTATTGAGTTTTATATGAATGTTTAGTACTGAAGTTGCTTGAAAAAATTATCAACGAAAATATAACGAACGTCGCTTATTTTAGTGCATTTAATTCCTTTGTGAAATACTCTTTCTGTTTGTTTCATCGCAGAACAACACCTTTTTCTTTGATTATTCTAGATGTTGCTCTGAAACACAGAAAAAATCAACGAAGACATGCATCGAGAAAAAAGACAAAATAAAGAAATGGCAAAGTATTTACAATAGGCAATCATCACAAGAATCCATGAAAATAACTTTTTTTGTTTGTTTTAACAAATAAAAAATCTTAAAGTAATATTTGCGTTTGGTTGTCAAACATATTGCTGTTAAAAAATCAAAGATTCGGACTAGATATATTAATACATAAACTATAGCTTCTACAGATCAACAGTGAAATACTATTTTAAGTAATAACATTCAGATTCTTCCACTTCTGTAGCCAAATCTAGGAAACAGACAAAAATATTTAAGCTGTTTTTTGTTTCTTCTTTTCACTTAAAAGTAATATGCGAGACAGGTGAATGTAAAAAAATACATTCAAAACAAAAGAAAAAAAATTCACTAACACGAACTATTATCACTTTCTGCTATGTGTGGTGAGAGAAAATATCTAATGAATATAATATTACAGGAGATAAAAACATAATGAGATAAATATCTGTAACTTGTTATATTTTTCAATAGAAATTATGTCTACTATTCAATTATTTTATTTCAAGAAAAATACACGAGACAATGAGTTTGTTCAAACGCAAGAGGATAAAATGGATATATGTATTCGTTAGTATTGAACGCCCTCTGTTGTATGTATTGCAGAGGCTCAATATATTTCTAGTGTAATGGCGTTTGTATGTACATATGTTCACTAATCCGCTCGATGTACATTTTTATAATATAATATGCATTCTTTCTTATAAGTACAAAGGAATAAACTATTTGTATGAATCATCCGTTTATTCTCTTCTTTTTCTTTTTTGTCATTTTTGAATAATTGTGACATTTTGCTTTTTTTTGTTCTTTACTAGATAAACACATTATGTTTATATAAAAAAAATTAGATAGTTTCCATTAATAAAATAGAAAATTATTCATGGAACCATCCCCATTTCAAGATCTAGCATTTATTCTTAAAAATGAACTACCATCATTGAAAGGAAATCTTGCTGAAAATATCTCAAATCTAGCTAAAGTAGCAGATTTTTGTGAAGATAATTATTTAAATTCATCTAATCATGATAAATCACGTGTTTATGAAGATACAAAAAATTATGCTATTCAAGCAGTAAGATATTTTTCTTCATATAAAATTACGTGTATATTTTTTTTTCAGTTAGCTAGTGTTGCTTATCAAATAAATACAATAGCAACATCATTTTTACAATTATTAGATTTACAATCCAATCAATTTAATGAATTAGAAACGAATTTAAGTGATTTAAGTGAAGATACCAATGTACATAAAGAAAAAGTTGCACGAAGAGAAATTGGTACATTAACAACAAATAAAACTTTAGGTCGACAACCATTATTCATTAAACCAAGCAATCCAGAAAAACTTGTTCGTTATGTTCGTAAACCATTAGATTATTCTGTTCTTGATGATATTGGTAAGAATAAAATAAATAAATATGATCATTTTTGTTCGATTAATAATTGTCTAATTTAGGTCATGGTGTTCGTTTATCACCACAAGAAAATAAATCTCGTCATATGATTTATAGTAATGGTCTTCAACAGCAACAGCAACAGCAACAACAACAACAACCATCAACACCTCCATCAATAAAAAATGCAAATGCTAGCTTATCAAAAGCAACTGGTGCTAGTTCATCTTTAATATATGCTCAACGATCATCTATTCAACCAGCACCACCTGTTGTTGTTCCACCAACAGATTATGCTAGTCGACATGATCTTATTATGAATAATGGTCATCAATACAATCAATATGGAAATCGTCAACAAGCATCCTATAATCAAATGTTAATGATGATGAATAATGAAAATGTTTATGCAACACGACATAATGGAATTTTAAATACAAATAATATGAATCGATATACAGGAGCAATGGTTGAAAATGGTGGTTCAGTTCGATCAAGAGCAACAAGTCAACCACCAGGATCAGCACGTGCTCCATTACATATGGATAATTATGATCCAGCTACTCAACAACAAAATGGTGCTGAACCACAATATATGGCTCAACAATCCTATCTTCCACAATTCATTCCAGCAGCACCAAATCATTTTTTTGAAGCAACAACAACATTACCAAGAAAAAGCACGCGAGGATTTCGAAGACGTTTTGAAAATCTTGATTGGGCACCTGAACAATATCTTGAAATGGTTTATTATCTAATTATAAATATTTATTAGAATTTTTATTTCCTTTTTTTTAATTTCTTATTAGGCCATTGCTTGTTATGATTATGAAAGTACTCGTGATGATGAATTAACATTTCGAGAAGATACAATCATTTTTGTTGTGGCTAAAAATGATGATGGTTGGTTTGAAGGTGTTATAGAACCTGGTATTCGTGGTTTATTTCCAGTAAGTTATACAATTGTGAAGTTATTAGTTTTTTCAAAATGATTTATTTTATTTTTTTAGGGAAATTATGTCGAGCCACTATGTGAATGAGAAAGAAAATATGATTCTAGTCATATATATCTAAAGCGTTTCATGTCATTTAATCTTTTGCTGTGTTCTCTATTCTATATACTTCCAAATCATGATTGTCAGATTCATTTTTACAAATGCCAATCCGATCAACTTTTTTTTCCTTTTTTTTTGCTAAAAAAAATTAATCAAACCAACAGTGATTTGTTCTTTTCTATTGTGTTGTTCTTATTGATATAATCATTGTCTTGCATGTTTGTTTGTAAACGACAAAAATATTCTTTTTTTTTGTGAGCATGTTATCTTTGTTGTATAGATTCATTCATAACCAACAAATATGTGTATATAGATTACAATATATCATTGTCTTGCCTCCTTTCTTTTCTTTTTGATATTATGCCTTCAAAATTAGCGCTACCTTTTTTTGTTAATCTCGAACTATATACGCGCTTTAAACAAAAATAAACCGAATTGAAACAGATTGTGACATGTTTTATAAAAATTAATTTAATTCAATCGAATAATAAAAGTTTTACTCTAATATTACTGTTAAAATATGTATAAAATTCATCAACATATTCATTAATGACATAGATTGAATTTAAATTTGCTTTTATTATTTTACAATATTTTAGTTTACATTGAATCATGTTATCGATGAAAAAAATATGTCATTGTAAAGGAAGTGACTACATAAAATCAATGTTATACAAATCATAGGGTCTTGATACATACAAATGGTGATGTCACCGCATGAATGATTCGTTGATACACCTACTGATCCGAACATGCGATAGAGCGTTTTATTTTTTGTTGAGTAACAAGTAGGCCGTAACGAATTGTCCACATGAAGCTCAAAGAAAGAATGTGACAGCTCTTTGAGAGTATATAAAGAAGATACAAAATTATTTTACTTTTTTAGTTCAACTGTAGATTTTATATTATATACGTAGGTTAAAATTGTGTTCTCAATAAAATGAACGAAAATAAAGATACCGGAGTAGACAAAGATGCAAAATCGGCTTCAGAAAAACCGAAATTAGGTTTGATGAGTGGTATTGCATTATTAGTTGGATCAATAATTGGATCAGGAATTTTTATTTCACCACGTGGTGTTCTTCTTGGCACTGGTAAAGTCTAATTTTTCTTATTTAAATTATAACTATTATTTCTTTTTTAGGTTCCTATGGTTTATCAGTTCTGGTATGGATTCTATGTGGCTTAATTTGTCTTCCAGGTTGTTTATGTTATGCTGAACTAAGCACAATGATTTATAGTTCTGGTGGAGATTATACATATATTAAAATGGCTTTTGGTAACTGGGCTGGTAAATTAAAAACCTTTTTTCTCTTTAGTTATTTATTCAATATATACTTTAAATTATTGTAGGATTTTTACGAGTATGGAGTGAAATATGTTGTGTACGTCCAGCAACAATTGCTGTATGTGGTATAACAGCATCAATCTATATACTTCAACCAATATTTAGTCCATGTCAACCACCACATATGGCTGTAATTCTTCTTGCTTGTTTCTTTATTATGGTATTAACACTTCTGAATTTATTATCAACACGTGGTTCAATTATGTGGCAAAACATAGCATTCTATGCGAAAATTTTATCATTACTTCTTCTTATTGGCCTTGGAATATATCAATTAATACGAGGACAATATGATGTATTTACAGCACCATTTGAAAATACTGAAACAAGTATTAAAAAATTTTCTATTGCAATGTATATTGGATTATTTCCTTATACGGGTTGGAATTATTTATCAAATGCAGTTGAAGAATTAAAAAAACCAGAAAAAAATTTTCCAATTGCAATTTTAACTTCAATTATTGCAAGTACAATACTTTATGCACTTGCGTATAGTGCGTATTTCACAGCTTTAACACCACATGATGTAATGACATCCGATGCTGTTGCTGTAACGTTTGCACAAAATGTTTATCGACCACTTGGATTTATTGTACCTTTGTGTGTATCAATTTCAGCTCTTGGTGGTCTTAATGGACGTATGAAAATGTTAAAATTAATTAGTTTTTTAGAGTTTCTTTTCTTTTATTCTAGAAATTTTCTCAATTGTTCGAATGTTTTCTGTTGCTGGACGTGATGGTCTTTTACCATCAATATCTGCTTTTGTTCATATTAAACGTTTGACACCTGTCGTTCCATGCATTATTGAAGGAACACTTAGTAAATATCTAGTTTATGTTCATAACACAATTATTTTAATTTTTAATATATTTGTCTTTTAATCCAGGTATTTTATTTGTACTTGTTGGCAGTGCAGAACGTCTTCTTGGTTATTTAAGTTTCAGTACGTGGCTTGTTTGTTTATTTA